CTGAGACCGCCTCGTGTCGGTATGCTGCGTTACGCAGAGGTTTATGGGTTCACATGCAGGTTTTTGCAGAAAGTGACGTTGCGGACCGGCAACAAATGTGCTTGAACAATAAACGACGAACCTGCTGATCGAACGCTCATCACACAAGCGTACTGTGGACAGCTTTTCGCTTGCAGTGGGCAAGTGCGTAGTGGATAGAGTGACACGAAAAAAGGTTACAAAACATATTTTGAGCTGAACGACCGATATGGGACGTCCAAAGTTTAGTGTAAAATACGAGTGGTGAAAGAGGACAGAGTGGAGGAGTAATCGACCGTTTGTTATCAATGAAAAATCCAGAACGAATGTAACTTGACATGAAATGAATGAAAATAAATTTCCCGGATGCGAGGCTTTCACAAATGTTTAGAGCTGTTATTATTTAGCAGTATCACGGCGGTGGATCTGATTTAACTTCCTGATGGTATATTTCATCGTTTTTCTGAAGGTGTGATTCTGCGACCTGTAATTACGCTGCATTACTGCAAGTTTCGGACGGTCATCGATCAGTTTCAGCGCGAAGCTCGTATCCCTTCCTAGTTGTGGATCTTTGAAGAAGAATCGTCAAAATAGACATGAAAAATTGTATTCTAATTCAGTACTTAAATAAGCAGAATTTATTCAAGCGCCAGTGTGCTGATATCTGTTCACCGTTTGCGTAAGCACAACGTTTTTGGTTTGTGACGTCTGCTGTATTCTCAGCTTTCTAACAGTTTGCCGTGAGGCATCGGTTACTGAGTCGCAGAATGAAATATTTTTCTCCGGAAACGGATTTGCCTCTATCTTGTTCCTCTGTGTTGCACGCTAGCCTCCTGATACACTACGTCTGCTATGTATGTCGGCTCCCACACGAGCAGCCCACTGGCTGGAGTAAACGGTATATGCTCAGCAAGTTTGTCTAACAGGGCCAGCTTCTTTTTCTTAATCTTCACCTCTTGCGAGAATACCTGTGCGTGTAAGAGAACATAGTCATTCCTTACATGCTCTTGCCATTCAGCCCTCATTCTGCGTCGCTGCTGTACGTAGTTCAATCCTCGTTCTTGCTCTCTCCATTCAACAACGACTTTTTCCATGTTCTGCGGCAACACATCGACCTGACAGAGGCAAGCGGGATTTTTGTAGAAAGAGTTACTCATTTGTCAGTCTAAATATTTTACACTTTGCCAAAAGCATTCGATTATTGGGCGACTGCTAATTAACTCTGCAATGCAACGCTGGAGATGATTGACAAGGGCCGGACAATCACAACATCTTCTCCTTCAAGGCTGACAGTGAGCTGAAGCGGAATTGTTTGTGTATCCCTGTGTGATTGTATCCAGCTTTGCGCAGTAGATCTTGGTAGCTGAGGTATGAGGTTTGTGTAAATAATCTAGAAACTTATAACGTTCGAGGAATGTTCGCCACCTGTATTTGTGACAATGCGTTTGCAATAATTCGAACGACGAATATCGGACAGCTTTCGTTTGGTTATTTGAAACGTCTTCATTTTACAAATGTGATTCTTGAACAACCATGAAAAAATGCAATTGATGCTTTCATTCACGAAAGAAAATTTTTTTACATATATCACGGATAAGATAATGTGTTTGTTTCTAAGTTATTTTCATTGCATGGATAACATATTATTTCGAAGCTTTGAATACATGCTCTAAATGTCGGGGAAGAAACATGGCATACGGCGTACTGTCTGTGCCAAGCCTCGTCGCTGTCGGCCAGGTCCAGGTCGAGCACTGATGAACGGAGACAGTTTTGAGATATGTAGTTAGAAAACCTTTCTCACGGCAATGCTTCATTATGAGATTCTCACCGCTTTCAATTACTATGTCCTTGTCCTCCTTAGCTAACCGTAGATCATGTTAGTGATGTTATTGAAAGTCAAAAATGCATCAAACTTTATTTATACACAACGCAGGCAAGCATGTTGATCAGCTGGGTGATTGGGCATTACCGATGGACGTTTCGACTCGTTTCTCACGAGCCTTCTTCACGGGGTCTGTGCTGATTTCCGCAGTTAGTCGTGTGGTCCGGTTCTGAGCTGTTGTTGCGTCCAGAGCCGAAGGTACGCGTTTTGCCTATGCTGTTGGTTAAGTGGTTTTTCGGTAATGGGTCTGATAAGACTTGTCCAATCCATGCAGAATTCGCATCCTGTGAAGCTGTCGATCTGGACAAAGAATACGAGCTGTGCGCGGATTGGACAAGTGTCATCAAACCGGTTGCCCAAAGACTGCTTAACCGACTGTATGGACCGGTTAAGTGCACGTTTGGCTCCAGACGCCACAACAGCGCAGCTACAGACCACACAATAAACTGCGTAACTCAGCCCGGACCGCCCTAAGGAAGACTTGTGACAGACGAGCCGAAACTTCATTACTGATCAATCACCTAATTGGCAAACTTATTTGTTTGCATTGTGTATAAATAAACCGCATTTATACATTTCTCAGTTGTTTGCAAACCGTTTTGTAATTCATAACAAACTTTTATCCTTGGCATGCCGTTTTGGATGAACGTTTTCATTTCCCCATTGTTTTTGCTTGACCTTTGATTCCTTACACGTGGTTGCTTCGTGTTCAGGACGTGAAACGCTGAGTTGGATTTATTATCAGGGCACAACGACTATCAGATTGTGTATTTAGGATGAAGACCTCGACGCCCAGTTCAGACTGGTTCAAAAGAAATGTTTCCCAACGTATGAAGATTCAGAAAACGAAAAGGATACCGACGATTCTGAGCACGGCACTTCTTGGGGAGATGACAAGCTGTCCCCGGAAGAGGTGAGTTCCTTGGGAACGGAACTAGCTGGAGACTCGCCGAGGGCACTGAGCAAAGTAGCGTCCGATTCAGAGATCAGCGCCTACTTGCAGAAGTCTTCATCTTCGGCGGACGGTCGTCTGACGTGCCAGTTGTGCAAACAGTCGATTTCGATGAACCCGAATTCGCTGGACGTCCACGTCAAGAACCATCTCAATTTCAAGCCTCACCAATGCCCATGCTGCGACTACAAGTCGTGCACGTCCGGCAAGGTCAAGCGCCACTTGGATTCAGTGCATCGAGGGGTAGACACTAACATCATCAGCTTCACGCAGTCGTCGTCCACCGTCAAACAGATCATCGGTCAGATGCGTTCGATGTGTTTCCCCCAGATCGAGGGTGATTTCCAGACGAAAACGAAAGCACACCTCAATTCTCAGGTAATATTGCGCCGTTTGTTTAAAGTGATGCATGTTTGCCTTACGTCTGTTTGTTTTCGGTCTCATTTTCGTACATAAGTATGACCTCTTTTGTACCGTCAAGTATTACTGCTCCGGGCTCGCATTTTTAAACTCTGGAAAACCACGTACATAGCTACTAGACTCACTGTGAATTGAATATATCAGATTTTGTCTACTGCACAAATGTGTGATGCCAAGACAGCAGCGTAACAGTGCAAATTAAAACGGGCTGGCGGTGACCTGATCTACAGTCTCGTCGGTCCACGGAACACCAGAGTTTTGTACGGGTACGAAACACCAGTGATTCATCGGTTTCGGATTCATCTGAAGATCTGTACGTGGTGTATTTGCTGGCTGTAGCCCTTAGCCAGTCCCTAATGCAGGTTAGCGTTTGCTGTCGAATAGAAAATGGTATCAGACGTCTATCCGAAATTGTTTCCTGCCGATGGGGATGAAATCTGGAACTTGAACTGAGCTTGGTTGCGAAATTCCTTTTAACCGTGGATCTTTGGCATTGAAACGGAGTTGTAAGCTCTTCCTTAGCCACAAAAAGTGCATCTCTCATCCACCTCTCCAAAATATGGCCTTGGAGGAGTTACGCGTTGTTTGATATACTCCGGCCTACGAACGCATTTCGGTATTTACGCGGTAGTATATAAGAAGGGTACCAGTTCTTTAGAAAAAAAACTTCATTCGCGTGGGACTCTAGCGGACAAAATGACGTGAGACGCGTCTGACACTACTACGTCTGATGATCAAATGCAGCGGAGCGGTGACCTGCTATCGAATGGGCCTGAGGCAGGCAACTAGGACTAAAAGGCGGAGCGGCTCGATGCGACATGAAATCTGATCTCGGAACAGTTATGCTTTACGTATTACTCCGCCTAGTTGGTGAAGTCGTTTTTCCGTTTCCTTGGTCTCTTACTGGCCGCTTTTGCCTAGTGTGCTGAACCTTCACTGTTCAGTGTATCTCTGCAATTACTGTGATCGAAATTTTTGTGCTCCAGTTGACTTTATTTCTTGATATCAGCTTGAACAAATGTATCTTCGTCTTTTGTTGGTCGTTAAGACTCGTAGTGGAGGAAGTATTGGTCCAGTCTTCTAAAATTTCTCTCACCGTGAACTTACAGCTATAGGGACATTATGACCATATGAACGAACAACGCTTCTAATGCGTCACCCTGTTCTGACAATACCGATGCGGCGTCAGTGATTCGGTTTCACTTCACAGACCGACCATGCAGTAGTGTTTTTCCTCTTCGTAAAGGTTAACTTAAATTTTGTTTATGGCATACCCTTTGCGAACGGTTAGGCGCTGTCTTCCATAGATATTTAGCGACTTCATTTCTACTCAAACTGTCCTCCTTTCTCTTGCGGCGGTTTCGTCCTTAAAATTTATTTCTCTTCGCTTTTCTGTATCGAGCAATCACCGTAACCATGGTCAATAGTGATGACTAGAATCTACCCACAATTTTGCCTGAAAATCTTTGGGTTAAGTATGCTTCTGCAAAATAGGCACTTTCACTATGAATGTCAGAACTTTTCTGCGAGAGGCTTTAGTTTTCACAGTTGTGTGTTCGCAACGCGGATCGACGTAAATGTAGAACAGAATCTGTCGCGTAGGAGAATATTAGTTTATTTACAAACCATCGCGAAATAGTCTTATTGTTTCAAGCTAGAGTTCATCTTCATCTTCCATCGCCGCTTCTCCAATCGGGTAGCGGAGGCAGACGCGTCAGACAGTGCTTCCAACGTTTTCAATCCTGTGCAAGAGTTTAAGCTT